TATTTATTTTTTGTAGTATTTTTTAGTTTTTTTTTGTTTTTTTTTTTTGTGTTCTGAGTAATGCGCAAACACTTCGTTGGGGTTCTTAAAATATGTGTGCGTGCGTATGCAGTACTTGGCATTCGCCTTGTGTGCATTTTATACACCACATGCATGCTTGCAAGCATGCATGCATACACACAACGCACGCATAAACCTTCAACATCATCAGCAGGAGTAACAGTGGCGGCAGCATCATTATTATCAACATTACATACATATGTAGCATCTCGTTCCGCTACCGTTTACATAAATAAAAGAACAGCTACGAAAGCATACAAAAGTAGATCGTAATGCCAATAATAAAGTGCACGCATAGAGTGTGCGTTGCTTAAAATCAAACAAACACATATTCCTGTAAACACCATAAAACCCCGGCCAGACATGTTCGTTCGTAACATGTGTGCGTTCACAATTAAAATGACAATCATTTTAATGCATTACACATTTGTGCGCTTACGCTTAATTTAAACATAAGCGAACAAACACACACACATACACATACACACGCACACGTAGCAATTCACTGACGCACACAAATATACAATGTCGTAAACATTCACAAGTCTATGAAAAATGACACGTTTGGCACACACGCGTTCATATGTGCAAATCATATTCGTAATGAGAGTTCACGGGTGTAAACATTTCTTTTTTGCTTTTTGTTTGGTTTTTTTTTTTTCTTTCTTCATTTTGGGAAAAAAATCTCATTAAAAAGAACTAAAGACCAGATCCTTTCTGCACTTAGAGAGATCATAAAGAAACGTGTTCTATGTCATCGCTTCGTTACTTAGCTCGGTAAATCGATGAAAAAATGAAAAAAAAAAAAAAAATTTCGCTCTATCACGTATTTATATTGAACGCTTGAACCATTCTTAACTGTTCCATTTGTTTTACTATATCGCATTCGGATCTGCCATTTTAAACACTATTTTATAAATACAATCTATCGTAACAGGCCTCGATCACTTATCGAATCGAATCGAGTTATCCGCTATTTGTATTGTTCATCGATTTATGAAATATATTTAAACAATAAGTCAATAATCAATTAAACCAAATTGAACTTGAATTCCATTTCCCAATAAAACAAAGCGAAATAGAAATAAGCAGAAGCAAAAAATGTAACTGAAACCGTCTTAAAGCAAAACAATTGGTATTCACAACTAACTGAACCTTTGTGCCAAACGCAATTACAAGATAAAGCGAAAAGCCCGACAAGCTTAGATAAATTCGAGAAGTCATTTTGATTTGACGCCATATTCATCCGAACATTTTCTTTGTGTTCATCGTACAGCAACTTAGGCACTGACTTAACTTATCTTATGTTGTGATATGGAGAAGTTTCCTTGCAAAGTTCTTTGCGCTTCCCAAAAAACATAAAATGCGGCAAATAAAGTCATTCGACTGCAGAGATATTGTTTAGTTTAAATGTTTTCTTGCACGACCAGCGCGTATTCCCTTGTCGTTCACCTCGACTTCAACTCAATGACGGTCGCAAATTTTTCTCAACTCCTTTGCTGCGAATGCGACGAGACCCAACAGGTTTGCTCTTCTTTACTTTCCCAAGTGCGGAGTCCAAGTACATCTTTTGCAGGCAGTCTTCTGAAAACTTGCGAACACTATATGTGATGTTCAAAATTCCATTTCCATTCTTCCGAAATTTTCGCAATTTTTTAAACTATTTTAGTAGAATATATGGAATACCGATCGGACCGAGTCAAAACTGACACGAAAGGGTACGTCGCCTTTCGTTTTGTTTCCCCAATTTCCAGAAGATTTTTACGCATTCAATTATTTTATTATTTTTTTGATTATTTCGAACGAACGCGATCTGTTTGACCTCCTTTCCAAAGCATTTCATGTTCATTTGTTCAAAGTATCTTAGGAAACTCTTTCACCATCTAAAGCTTAATACTTTTTGCATTAAGAATATAAATATAAGGATGACGTCATTTTCAGAATTCATACCGTCGAATAGGCACAGTAAACGATATTACGCTTTCGAGAAATCTTAAATATTGCAAATGTATGAAAAAACCAACAAATTTACTCTTAATTAACGGTGGATGGATGGACTTGACAGATAGTTTCATATCAAATTTCCGATCCACATTTCCCATAAAGTTGGCATTATTCACAGCACTTTCTCGTTTATGACAATTTCTCGACTTCTGTTTTGTGGCAAAATTGCGAGTTCTTTTTACAAAGCTTGAGTTCTTACCTGAAAATGACGAAAGCAAATATTGGGTTCGCATTGGAAAATTGTTGCCCAACTTACAGACATTTTACTTCTTTTTTTTTTTTTTGTGCATTTCCTAATTAAAGAAACATTCATTTCGTTGGGTTTGCGCAAGAGTTTATGAATAAAGTTATGGAAAAAATGAACGCGAAAGCTTCCGACATCATCTATTCTATCTCCGCTGAGGAAAAGTTCTTTTAACTTTATAATTTTTGAAATAAAAAGACTAAGAAAATCGAATGCATATTTGGGTCGGATCTCCGCTCTACGATAACCAAATTTGTATCGGCTAACCTACGATTTTTAAAGCTGTTGTCAAAGCAATATGTGTAAGTAACTTTGGCTTAGCCAAAGTTCAGTTCCCCATTTTAAGAATATTGAAAATTTTTCATTCAAATTAAAAAACAAATTGAATTTTATAAATTTTTTTTATGCATATTTTTATAAATTTTGACATTTACTTCAATTGCATTATCTGCTCTTAGGTTTAAGAGTTTCAATTACGAGAGTACGAGTGCGAGAAGACTCGCGCAAATATGTTTTGTAGAAATGGAAAAAATGCATTCATTAAATCGTTGCTTAAATATAATTTGATTCGTGTTAGGCGCCGTGTACTTGCAAATAAACAAAAACTTCTCAATTACACTTCAATCGGCATTGCCGCAGCTTAACTTAAAATCGTAGTGTTGCCGTAGTGTTACCGTAGCATTGCCATATTAAAATTTTAATGACCATCAACATCGAAAACTGTTTTTCCGGAATGGTGTGTGTCTTTACTGCAGCAATGTATCTTAATTTTTCATATATAGATGACGTTTACACGATAATAATCCTATCTTGTTAATGAAATAACCGTTACTCACTCATAAATTAACGCCTTCCCACGCATTCAAGATAAGCGTTTTTGAAAGTTTTATTGAATATTCAGCGAAGACAAATATTATTGAGAAGTCTATCCTTTATTTTAAAATACATTTTGTGAAGCTTTTTTTTTTTTGCTTTTGGTAATTAATGAAAGCAAGTTCGGCAACATTATAATCATGAAGACAGGGTTTTGAAATTATCAAGTACTCAAATTAATGTTTAATATTAAGATTTACAAAAAACTAATTTTCAATCTTCTTCAAGTTTTTATAAGCCTATCATACGGCTACATTACGTTTATTCGAATGTGTGCAACATCCAAAAGGTCTGACGATAAAACCTAATTTTTAAGATACCTATCGGTTCGAAAACATTTTCTTAATCCATTTGACTTTGTCTCTCCCTCTGCTCGTTTATCTGTCATATTTTCTCGTGTTCCACCAACACTGTTACGCTAATGTGTTTTATTCCAAGGACGAACGCTATTAACAATAGTTAGAACCGGACCGCACGCCTTCGATCACTTCCCGTATTACGCCTTATATTGAAAGGTCGATAAATAGATAATTTTGAGGTCGTGTAGGACATTTAATGGGGGGCCGTGTCGCCAGTATAATGTTTTTATACCCCTCACCGAAGGATGGATGGTATAGTCATTTTGTGAAAACGTTTGCAACGCCCATAAAGACCCATCAGAGACGCTATAAAGTACATATATTCTCGATCAACATCAAATTCTAAATCGATCTAAGCATCTCTGTCTGTCCGTCTGAATGATATCTGTTGTAAATATTCTCCCGGATGTAAAAACTAAGCGGTCACCTTCAAATTTGGCAGAAATATTGGATGTTCTCGCACAAAGCTTGGTATTGGAAACCGGCCAAATCTGTTGAAGGGCACGCCCACAGCTCCTCTATTTTTCAAAAGGAATCAAAAATTCATAAACTGTAGCAAAAAAAAATGTACGAAAATTTGATCATATATTCTGCGGGTGATGCTGTAGCATTCGTGCACAAAAATGTAAAAAAATTGACCACGCCTATACAATAGTGTATCACAATGAACTTGTTTTTTTTTTTTTTCAATACCTTTATAACGAGCAGAAAGAAGCTTCAGAAACCCGATAAAGTATACAAATTCTCGACCAGTTGCAAATGTGGAATTTACCTAAACATGTCCGTCCGTTCGTCTATTCATCTGTCTGTCTGTGCAACTGTGTAGCGCCTGTCATGAACATTCTCGCGTTAGCGAATATGAAGATATCGCCCACAAAATAGTAAAAGAGTTTGGAATTGACCTAAACTTTTCAAACATTCGCTTACCTGCCTATACGACAAAAGCTTTTTTATTGAAATATTTTCATTGAAATATTATTCCTTTGCAAATCGAATAAATAAATTCGCTGCGTCCACTCCCTATTGTAAAGCATGAAACTCTAGTTCTTTTACTTCCTTTGTCTTTTTTACGATAACGGTGAGGGGTGTAAAAAAAAAAAAAAACATTTAAAAAATTTGCAATCAACTTGTAATGCTTATATATGATATATACTATCATCGTTATTTATTATATAAAATCATGTAAAAATCCAACGAATCTATAGCATGACTTTTGAAATTAAATTGCATCTGATTTCAAATGATATTTGAAAGGAAAAAAATCTTGACTTAACGTCCTACTCAGAGAGTAACAATACATTTGCAAAGAGGTTATCGCTTTGCGTTATCTGATCAGTGGGATGATCATGACTCTATTGAAATTTTGCCTACATAAGGGACAAATTTTGTTTAAAATTTTCTCAATCTCATCAGTCTTGTTGAAATGTCCATACAAACGATTTATATGTTTTACGTTTTAGATTGTCTACGGCCCGGACGGACAACCAGTACGCACCGAGTCACGTCGTGGCCGTGGCAAGGCACGAACAACAGCCGGAAGTGCAACACCAACTACAGGGGTAAGTTTACGAGAAAAGCAAAAAAAAAAAAAAAAAAATAGTCTAAAAAACTTTATATTATTATTATTATTACTTAGCCAGAGAAATAAATTTGAAAATAAAAGCCTTAAAGCTCTACCATCTAAAGTGCTATCGGCTTTATTGAAAACTGCACCGCACACCGTTTAGTGCGGTGGTTAATATGTCCGGCGTTTACGTCGAAGCCCTGGATTCGATTACTGGTTCGATAAGACGACCACAAATTGTACTTTAATAGCTATATCACCGGGAAAGAATCAAGTCCCTGACAAATAATTTGAAAGAATTTTACTTTACTTATTTGCACCTTTTCTTATATCTTAAACAAACAAACAAAAAAAAAATTTTTTTTTAATTCTTTTTTATGTATACAAGCAAAAAAAAAAAAAAAAAAGGAAAACAAGATAATATTCCGTGCAGCGAAATCGATACCGCATCAGGATAGCTTCGGTCTACGGATAGATTTATGAATCCAGTGTTTTTAACATATTCTTTCAAGAGGACTTTGTCTCAAAACTTTTTTATTCGACTAAGATCCGGCACTTAAGAGTATTGTAATTCATTTGGTTGCTGCTCTTATTAAGACGAAACGAAAAGAGCAGACACTTCACTATCGAAGCAATTGTTTCAGACACATAAGCAAAAAAGAAAAAAAAAAAACAAATATTTTTTTTTTGAATTATTTCAAATGAATATGAATCACCTTAGCCTCAGTCAGTCATCAAACGCCACTGCTAATCGCACAAATATATAAACAACACACGTTGTCATACAAAATTATGAAAAAAAAAGCACCGAAAAGAAGCTCAAGTAATAGTAATGACTTTTGACAACTTTATAGCAAATATGCATTGCGGCTTTATTTTATGTGTATATGTGCATGTGTGGTCGTCAAAGCAAACGTCATTTAAATGACGACGTCTTGGATTACGACATATATATATATATATATGTGTGTGTGCAAATATAAATATATATATATATATATTTTTTCTTAGACATCGCTTGTCATACATATATATATACCTATATATGTATGTATGTATGTATGTATATATGTGAGCTTGCGATACATGTGAATAAAAGCATGCTAGACGGTGTGGCGCCATTTAACAATAATGACTGGCTGACTGGTTGTTTACCGGCCAACTGCCTGGCAAGGCACGCTATGCTGTTATGTGTCCGTGTTCGATGGCTTGAATGTGCTTTAGCTCTCCCAAATTGAACGGTTGGCTGGCTGCTTGGCTGGCATTGCTATGTGCGGTTTGTATTTCAGTCATAAACACATTTTTAAACATACACACACACACACACACATACCTACATAGTAGTAGTAATGTTATATATATATATATATATATATATATATATATATACACGCATGCATACGTTTCAAATCTGACTAAATGATTTCTTTATTTATTGGGGGCTCGCTCACTTCAGTCTTACATTTTGTGCACGTCTCAATGAGATCGAGTAAATCTTGCTTGCCATGCGTACGATATGTACGTCTATCCATATGTTATATTACAGCATTTGCACGTATGTACCTACAAGTATGTACATGTGTTGATGTATGTCGTCACCGATTTAACATTTCCCAGCGGCATTTATTTAATGCCTACACATACATACACGCACACACACACAAAAAACATTATTCGTTTAGTTAAAAGAGCATTTAGCGACTGTCGTTGTCTCCGATTCAGGCATGAATCGTTCTTTGATTATTACTTATTTAGTTTGATTACTTTGTTGTTACTGCTGTTCACTTGTCAGGCTGTCTATCTGTTTATTTGTTTGTTTGTTTGTTTGTTTGTTTGTTTGTTAGTTAAACATAGCCGAGTGTACAAAGAATATGGTCATCCTTAGGAAATATTGACAATGGCCAGGCACAATACTAAGTAAGAACTAAGATAAACCGTTTCACGCATTTCATGTACCAGTAGGCTTTCACGCACACGGTGGTGGTACATGCGTACATTGCATGCGTAACATTGCTCAGGAATACGTGTCAGGTGAAATTGTTAGCATTAACATCGAAACGACATCGATACCGATATTGATGCTAAATGTAAATCTGTATGTAAATCTACTCTCCTGCACTTCTTGTCATTACTTTCAATATGCAGATATTTGATATATGCGTGTGTGTGTGTGTGTGTGTGTGTGTGTGTAGGTGCATATAATTGCCTATGATTGAGGGAACCAAATGAACCATATCAACAGCCAACCAACAGTAGTATGTAAAAGTCATCAAATCCCTCAGTCAACTAGTTAACGGTAAACATTACTTCTCGTTCATCCATTCTCTAACCCCTTTCACACCGGATGCGGAAAGCGTGATATCGAAGCGTCATATGTTTTTATAAATTGAACGAAAATTATTGCTGCCCCTATGCAAGCTATTCTGCCTTTCTTACAGACTCAATGCACGACAATTGCTTTTAATTCCCAGTCATCTCAATTAGATCGAATTCATGAACCTTTTCGTTGCCTTAACGCAAATCTATTACAAAGCGTTGACTTTCATCCATCATCATTAATCAACATGCATCAGTTCGCTGAGGAAGAGAAGATTATTGTCGTTATTGCCTTACGTTAAAAACAAAGTTTTCCTGCCTTCTGAAGGTCGATTCTCTACTTTTCTAGGAAAAG